GTCATGTGTCATGCAAGTTTCAGTTCAAGCAACAACAGTTTTCTATGTATCGGTAAGGACTTCTATGACTTTGCTTCTAAATTCTACGAACCACCTAGTAACAGTTTCTCTGACTTTCAAGTTTGGTTCACAACAAACGGTGTGCAGCATATAATACCACTGTACTATGACTTTTATCTCGAATTGTCTTTCATATACAACTACGGAAAAGTGCTGAAAAAGTATTGAAAAATATATTTTAGGTGAAGAGGTGAGATCTCACCTGTTTTCTCACCTGTTTTTTCACCCTCTTGAATTTTCATGAATTTCCTTAAGATAGAAAAAAAGTGAGTTAAAATGAGATTTTTATCGTTGTGGTCCGACGGTTAAGCCACAAACGAATGTCCGACGGTTAAGCCACAAACGAATGTCCGACGTACCACCAAAAAATATTTTTTATTTTTATTGTAAGAACAGTATGACAGTCGAAGCAAAAACGTTCACGAACAAATCTAATGGCGAAACATTCACAAAAGGCACTTACAACGGTATTGAAGTCTTACGTAGAGACAAGGATGGTTATATAAATGTAACAAAGATGTGTCAGCAGTTTAGGAAAGACTTTAGAAAGTTGTTGGAAAATAAGTCCTGGGAAGAGTATTATAAGGCATTTTGTGAAGAATATACCAATCGCCGGAATTCCGGCGATTGCTTTTTATACAAAATGCGTGCAGGAATTCCGGATGAAATCAAACAGGTTAGAGGAACGTATGTAGACCCAAGACTTCTAAACTATATAGCAATGTGGGCTTCTCCAAAATATTGTATAACAGTTGGAAAAATTATGGACTCCATAGACAAGAAAGTTCATGAGAAATTAGATGAAGAAGAACTTGAAGATACAGTAGAGAATGCAAAACCTTTGTTCGAAGAAGAAGTTAGAAAAAAGTGCGAAAAACAAATAGAACATGAACGTGAGATATGTTCTGGTTATAGAGATTCTCCATACGAACTAGACCAATGGGAACAAGAAGATTTAAAGAGAGAATTTAGAGAATATGAACTCGCTAAAATTTCATTAGAAGCTGCAGAAAAGAAGTTAAAAGTTTGGGGTCGTTTTGTACAAAAATATTGTGAGTAAATGAACCATTTCTTTTTATTGAATTCGGCAAAAATATATTTTAGGTGGAACCAGGTCCCTCGGTCATTTTAACTTCTCTGAAAAAGTGTGACAACATGACATTTTGACAACAACACAGGAGATAGATTTCTTCGTCAATGTTTTGTATAAAAAGCACCCCGCGGAATTCCGGCGGGTGGTATATTCTTCACGAAATGCTTGTTTTGTTGAGATTTCTTCGTCAATGTTTTGTATAAAAAGCAATAGCCGGAATTCCGGCGATTGGTATATTCTTCACGAAATGCTTGTTTTGTTGAGATTTCTTCGTCAATGTTTTGTATAAAAAGCAATAGCCGGAATTCCGGCGATTGGTATATTCTTCACGAAATGCTTGTTTTGAGGTCGAGCCAAAAATGGCTCCACCGTAGAAAACACACAAAACTCATTTTACTCAGCAAAAATATATTTTAGGTGAAGTGGTGAGATCTCACCTCTTTTTTCACCTCTTTTCTCACCCGTTGAATTTTCATGAATTTTCCCGAAATAAAATAAAAAGTTAGTTTTTTTAAAAAAAAATATTTTTTATTTTTATTGTAAGAACATGTTAGCAACAACTTCACCAAACTCGTTAGTCATGAACCCAACTTCAATGTTAGTAGAGATGAAAAGCTTCATTCCTTCTTCATATACTTTCGAAACAGAAATCCAGAAGATAAAGCAAGAACTTCTCCAAGGAGATTTAGACTGTAGTGCGAAAGATGAAACAAATGAAGAATATCTTTATGAAATGCAGGATATTATTGACCATCTACCTAAACTTCCTGAAATACAACAACAAAAGCTCACTATTCCTGAATTCGATGAAATAGAAGTCAAAGCAACTGACTCAGTAGAAACCAAGAAGTTCATACGTAAGGTAAACTATGAGTTTCTTGGATTTCATTGCAACCACAAAGTCATGGACAAAGACTGCGATATGGTATATAAGAACATCTCTGACATATACAAATCTGAAGAATTTAAGACCTACGACAACTTTGTTTCGTTAGTTGCAAAATGTGTATGGCAGATAAGAGATAAAGATAAAAGAGGTAAGGTATGGAACGAACAGATAAAACCAGCAACTTTTGAGTTAAAGAAAACCATTGACGCCTTAGTTGTACTTGCAGGTCAAATTTCAATGTACAATGCTAAAATGAACCCACAATGTTCAAAATGTAAAGCAGCAATGAGGAAATATAACTACTCCGTCAAAGAGATAGAAAGAATGCGAAACGACTATGCTGATTTAAAGGAAGAAGCAGAGAAACCAGCAGAAGATAAAATGGACATGTTGACATTTCTGAACAAAAACTATCCAACAGCTGACGATTTCCTTCTTTCAGATGTCAAGAAGAAATATAAAGAAACATTCGGCATTGTTAAAACATTCGATATCCTCAGCGAAGAAATCGAAGCTACAAAACTGTTTAGGATTTCAAATATACATCGTACAATTCATGTAAAACGCTTGTGAAAAAGAGGTGAGAAAAGAGGTGAGAAAACAGGTGAGATCTCACCTCTTCACCTAAAATATATTTTTGCCGAGTAAAATGACCAAATTTCATTATATAACTGTTATGAGTGACGAAGAGAACTTTGACACTTCGTAAAAAAATCCCTGAAATCATATCTTTTATACAAAATTCAAGAGGTGAGAAAAGAGGTGAGAAAACAGGTGAGATCTCACCACTTCACCTAAAATATATTTTTGCCTGATTTACACTCATTGACGATGAAATTCATGACAAAACATATACGATGAAATCTATTTCCTGTGTTGTTGTCAAAATGTCATGTTGTCACCATTTTCAGAGAAGTTCATTTGACCGAGGGACCGAGGGACCGAGGGACCTGGTTCGCCTAAAATATATTTTTGCTGAAAAAAATGACCAAATTTCATGAATTTCCTCATATGTTTGCGACCGGCGGAAAACCGCGGGTCGAGATTCCGTACGAAAATCGTAAAAAAATTCTATGAAAATCGTGGAAAATTGCGAGTGGGAGAAAAACCCTGGTCGCCAAAACTCATGAAAATCGTAAAAAATTGCGAGTACGGAAAAAACCCTGGTCGCCTAAAACTCATGAAAATCGTAAAAATTGCGAGTACGGAAAAAACCGTAGTCGCCTAAAACTCATGAAAATCGTAAAAAAACTCTATGAAAACAGTGAAAAAATGCGACCCCGACTTTTACAGGGGTCGCCTAAAACTCATGAAAATCGTAAAAAAACTCTATGAAATCATATCTTTTATACAAAATAAAAAAATAGCGTTAGTTTTATTTTTTTTTATTTTTTTATTTTGTATGTAAGAACAGGAAATGACAAACACTGAGTTTGAAACAGTTAAAAAGATAGACAATGACACCAAAGTGGTTAGAATAGGTGATTTAAACGTAAGATACTCAAAGAAATACAAAAAATATTCTTTGTCAGACATTTTAACACTATCTGAAGGAAAGAAAGCACACGACTGGGTTAAAAATGCTTCTACTCAGAAAATTTTGACAAAAAATCCTGAGCTTATGATATCGGTAAGATTCTATGGAACAAGAGCATATCTTATAGACAAAAGTCTTATACCAGTAGTTTTGTTCTGGATTGACCCAGTTGTTGGATATAATTTCATAACATATGGTTCATTCGATACGGAACGTTGCAGTGAAGGCTTACTTTACATCGTTCAGAAACCGAAGGACTTCAATACAAAGAGATATAAGATAGGAAGAACATTTAATATAACTCAAAGATATGACAGTATAGTCAATAGAGTTAAGGTTGTGTTCGTTAACGATATGAGAGCTGCTGAAACAGAACTACTTGAAAAGTTTGAGAAAATGTATGGTGCTCCCACGAAAGGTAAAGAAACGTTTGAAGTAGATGAGATCGACAAAGCTATAAAATTATTTGACGAAGTTGCTGAAAAATACATGTAAAGCGTTTATTTTTGGTCTTTTGTGAAAGCCAGAAATTAACGCTAATTTTATTTTTTTTTATTTTTTTATTTTGTATGTAAGAACAGAAATGTCAACAACAGAGAACACAACAACTGCTATCGTTCATGAAGCCATAAGTGAAGAATATGAGTGGGTTCAGTTTAACAAACAGTTACGTCTCATTCGTTCGGTCAAAGATGACATGTACCAAATGCAAAGTATTTTGACAGCATGTTTTGCTCCAGATACTAAGAAACCACAAGACTGGTTTAGGAACCAAAGCACTATTGAACTATTAAATGAAATTTCTCTAGACCGAGAATTCTCGGTCTTGCATAAAACACATGAAAATCGTGAAAAATTGCCAAACGGTTTGAGAGGATATTATGTACATAGACTTCTTGTAAATAATGTGGCACAATGGGCTTCAGCTCGCTATTCATGGTATGTTTGTAAACTTCTTGACGAAATTCATAGACAAGAACGTGAAGAGCTAGAGAACAAGCTTGAAGCAAAAGACAAAAACATACAGAAAAGAATACCACGTTCGGTACCAAAAGGAAAGGAAAAGAACTATAAGTATATGATTTACACTGAAGAGATGGAAAATGAAGAAGACAGAGATATGGTTATGTTGCATTTAGTCAGAAGAAACAACAAAAGCTTTTACGACCTTGCTAAGATTTACAAATCTGACAGAAATTGGTTCTATCGCGAAAACTTACCGATTTCAATGACACCGAATGAAGATGTTAAACAGATAGTTCAAGATACGTTACCTCAAACACACTATGATATGAAAGGTTGTACAATACTTACCTTCAAAGAAGATTTGCCATTACTGAAGGAAAAGATAACAGAGTATTTTGACAACTTCAAAGAGGAAGAGTAAATGAACCATTTATTTTTCAAGCTTGACACCAAAGATGGCTCAGGTAGCTCTATCAGGTAAATTGTCTTGTCCGAGTCCTTCTGGCATTCCGAGTCCTTCCTTCTGGCATTCCGAGTCCTTCCTTCTGGCATTCCGAGTCCTTCCTTCTGGCATTCCGAGTCCTTCCTTCCGACAGAAAAAGTTTTTCCTTCTGGCATTCCGAGTCCTTCCTTCCGACAGGAAAAGTTTTTCTTTCCGACAGGAAAAATTTTTTCTGTTGTCCGTCCGTAAACCATTCAAATTTTCGAAAATTGAGAACTTTTTGGCCGACCTTCAGAAAAAGTTTTTCCTTCCGACAGGAAAAGTTTTTCTTTCCGACAGGAAAAGTTTTTCTTTCCGACAGGAAAAGTTTTTCTTTCCGACATTCCGAGTCCTTCCTTCCGACAGGACACAAACGAATGTCCGACGTACCACCAACCGAGTCCATTCCAAAGCCAGAAGAACCGACAGCCCCAGCACCACAACAGACTAAGACTCAAACACTTACATTTTTACGCTTGACTTTTTACAATTTGAACTTTGTTTGCGTAGATATGAATTCTGAAAGAAGTATGAGGGTCTTGTATGACTTTGTACTTCTCCCATAGTTCATGTCTGTCAAACTTACCTGCCATGGACTCTTTCATAAGTTCCATGAAATCGTCTTCGGACAATCCGGGGAAAAGTATAATATCAGTAAGTATTCTCTTTACATCCTTACTTAAACTCTTTGCTGTCTGTACACAAATGACAACTGAAATGTTAAAGTGTCTGAGCTTCTTAAGAATTCGACACATGTCTTGTTCTCTATTCTTTAACAAAGGATGAGAAGCAAAGTCATCTAAGATAAGAAGACATCTGTGAGGGTAAGTCTTCCAATCGTAAGATTGCAATTTCTTCGAAAGGTACTCAATCTCTTTCTGTTTGTTTCTGAAGTGTTTCTTCTCTAATATTCTCTGCATTTCCTCATTTGGGTCTTTAAACTTCGAATTGACATACTCATTTATAGCATTGTACTTCAAAACTCTTCTTTGGTACTTCTTTATCCAATCTAACAACTCAGAGTCTTTTATACATACTAACTTAGACTTTTTTATAATATCTTTGAACGAATTGACGGTTTGGTCAAATTGACCCGAAGTACTACAAATGACTACTAACTCATAGAATGGGTTCTTCTCATCTAGTTCTTGTTGTTGTGCAGCCATTTTAAGATAAGTGAAAGTCTTACCCGACCCAGGTGGTGCGATTAGACCTGTTATACCATTCTGAGCAAATAGGAACTTGTCATGTATGGGTTTTATCTGAGCATTTTCCAACTTCCTCTTGTTCTTGTTTAAAACATTCTCAAATTTCTTGTCAATGTCAGCAAACTTTTTTTCTAACATATTTTTAGAAAAATTAAAATTTTTATCTTTTAGGAAATGTCTAGCGATTTCGCATCTATATTCGAGACAAGCTTTTCGACAGCAAAACATCTGTCGACCATAAAATCTTACATAGTGTAAACAAGAAAGGTGAATTTGTTCTAAAGTTCTGTTTCTGGGAATATGAAAGAACCATAAAACCTTAAGCAGAGAAGTCTTAAAATTTGTCAATGACAGACTTGTTGACAGAGATGACGCCTCTTGGAGAGATGAAGTCCAACAAAACTTCTTAGAATGCAAAGAAGACACATGCGCTGTTCTTGAAAATGAATAGAAAACAGAATAGAAGAGCTATTAAATGACAAAGCACTTTTACAAAAATATGGTTTGAGAAGTTTGACATAACTCCACAGAAGAAGAAGAGAGAAAAAGAAAGAAAGAAAGTAGAAGAAAGAAGAAAGAACCTGAACCAGTTCCAGAGAAAAAGAAATTTGACATGTAAAAATAAAATTTTATTTTTAGAACATTTCTGGGTCAATGTCAATGTTCTCTTCCTCTTTAGGAGCAAACCCGGCTTAGACTCTAAAATCTTTTACCCCAATTTACCTTGAACTTCAACTATCTTAGACTCATAATATTCATAGTCGTCTGCTTTCTTTGGTTCATAAGGTATAAAAGTTTGTATGCTTTGCCTTCTTTAAGGTTTGAGAACCTTCTGTCAAAACTTTCTTTGACTGTTAACAAACTTCTATGTCTAAGTCTTCAAATTTCGCACCATTTTTAGTCACAATAGCAAACTTAACTGGTTCGATGTTCCAAACTTTGTCAAATGAAGACTTTTCAAATGGTAGAAGTAAACATTCAAATATGTGAATGGGTTAGTTCTTCTTTAAGTCCTGACATGTACTTGTTTACTGAGATGAATTCGTCATCTTTTCTATCGGATAAAAAAATATTTTTTTTTAAATTTACTCAGAAAAATTTTCTTTGTATATACACCATTCTGAACATCTAAAAGACTTTTGACATTTGCCAAGAATGTTCGTTTAGACGCTGTCATATAACCATACTCTTGACAATATTGTTTATACGAATCGTACAATGACCTTTCATCTAAACACTCAAAGTCAGTTCATCTATGAACAGTTCATATACACTCTTGTTTGCTTCTAACAATGTTTGTCTCTCTTCGGTATGTGGAATTTGTCTTGGATTGAACTTAGAAATATCTAATGTCATGAAATATGAGAACAAGTGGTTGTAAAAGTCAGATGTCAAAGTTTCTGCTAAGTCGTCAAAATATGTATCTTGCATATGAGCTCTGACGTTCTGAAACTACATATCTTCTGTCAGAACTTTCTAACTTCATCGGAACGGCATTGTTTTGAAACCATGACGAAGTTTGCAACATTTTCACAAACTCTTTGGTCTTTATATTTTCTTTCAACAACTCCAACTTTGTCTGTTATAAGACTCTTCAAGCATCTGAGTTCAAAACTTTTGTTGTATCTATACTTTGAAGTTCGTTACTACTATAAGTTTCATATTCTCTATTGAAGAGTTAAATTTACCGCAGATGTTTTCTAAGTTTGTCATATTCGGGTTCGAATAGCCCTCTAAACAGTTTGCATAAGATCTGTAAAGAAAGTGTTCTTACCTGTTCCTTGTTTTCCAATTACAATGAGAGCAGTTCATTTTTAGCACTTGGATGTTGTAAGATGTTTGCAAACCAACATAAGATATACTCATAGACTCTTTCGTTTCCATTGCATATAATTTCTTTGACATGGTCTAACCAAGCTTTCTATAACATTTTCTTTCCATTCTACTTGTTCGTATTTATATCCAGTGAAGATAGAATAGAAGTTTGGAGAAGTGTATAGAACTTTATACCACGAATGAAAATCTTCTAACTTTGACAATAAGATATCCCAAGCATCTAACATCTTCATGCCAACTTGTACGACTTTTATTTTCTTAAGTTTCTGTCTACATTCTTGTTCTGAAACTATTGTCGCTCTTGGTTTGTTATAAGGACAACATCCCATCTTTCATGACATAACATTGGGGCAGAGTCGACATAAATGACTAAACGTTTCAAATTCTCGACTGCTTTGTTATAGTCTCTAAATGGACACATATTTCTGAACGCTTGGAAGTCATAAAAATCTGAAACGTCTATTCTGTACATTTTTATAAAAATAAAAAAAAATATTTTTTTATTCTTGACTTTGTTGTTGCATTTGTTCCATTTGTTGCATTTGTTGTTCTTGAGCTATTTGTTGTTGAAGTTGTTTCTTGTAGTACAATACTTCACCAGTTGCATCTTCCAATTCGAAACTTTCTGCCGTCATTGACAAATACATAGACATAAAATTTTACAGGAACAAAGTTGCGTCAACTAAGGTTAAGTTTATGTTTCTAAATGTTTGAGTTTACTAAAGCTGAAAACTCTGCATTCGAATGAACAATAGGCAAACCAGCAGAGAAAGTGTTGTTTATACGCATGAGTATCTTTGGTCATAGTAGTTCTGTCGACATTCGAATAGCACTTTGAACCTAAGTTTGAAACAATATATAAAATAGGTGTGCTTAAAGTCAATGGAACAGACAAAACCTTGTTATGACACCTTTTCCTGTTATAGGAAACTGTTGGTAGTAAAAACCAGATATAAGTTTGTATTATAGCTCATATCGTTTATACTAAACTCAGTCGACATCCAAACATAATGAAACCTGCTCTAGTTGCAGCACATGTTACATCCGTCCTTAAAGTATTAAATAAGTCAACAAAACCTGTTGGTGGTATATCTGAGTAAGTATCTCAAAGGAGTATTTTTTACCATTCACAACAATAAAATCTTCTGGTGTCAAAAGAGCAAACAGGCTTTAGTCGTCATCGTGTTTAAGGTCAGTTTACAATATCGTCCTTGAGGACTTTGTAAGTTTGTTGTTATAGAATTATATGACTCAGGGTTTTTAGTCGTAATAGTATAAACCACTATGTCTTCTGCCATTTACATATATTTAAAAGTTTTTCTGAAAGTGAAAGAACTTCATCTAAACTTCACATGGCGTTTCTTGAAGTTCTCTGTCTAAGAAGTTCAAATATTTTGTAAAGACATAGAACTTTCCTTTGTCTACACGAACAAACAAAACAGGGTCTTTTCATATCGTTCAAAAGTGTGTAAAGTCCTTTACATGAAATAAAGTCTATATTGTTTTTCTTCAAACATCTTTCAAGAAGTTTTGACATTTTACTTAGCAAACAAACTTAATGAAATGTTGTGGTCGTCAAATATTTTTATGACGTCTGGGAAACTATATTTTAAGTTCAACCGTTTCACCTCCTTTCATAACGTATATCTTGTCAATGACATTGTATGAAACACCACAGCAAGCAATGTCGGGTTCTATTTCTTTGATGTTTATATCGTCTGCCTCTGTCAAAAGTTCAATAGTTCTTTCAAAAATTTCATGAGTGCAATGACATATGAGTTCACTTTTACAGGGTTGTGTTCGACCAAGTTTAACATTAGACCTAAAGCTTGACAAATCTTCTCCTGAGTTTTAAGTTTGTCTTTAAGTTGTTGGTAGTCGTTTCGAATATCTGCAACAGAACTTAAGTCTCTGCTAACTTCAGGGTATGTTGGTTGTTCTTTTACAGGAACTATTGTTATACCATCTTCGTCTTCGTATGGTTTCCCCACTTCAACATCTCTGTCTTTGACATTGACAACAACACTTTGACTGTTTGTTTGAGTTGGTGAATTTAACTTCACATCTGCCACCGCCATTAAACCTTTTGAAACACTTACGCTTCTATTTTTCGGAAATGACATTTTACTTAGAATAAAAAGATGGACGTATTTGAGTATCTCTCTTCGAATTGAAGCAGAACAAAGTTTACACACACAAACAATACAAGTTCATTGACAGAGTAGTTCTTTACACAAACAATGGAAAATGTTATAGAATAGCAGTCTTTGCTGAACCAAAATATTTTCAAAAGCAAAGAAAGTTGGTATAACCGAGATGGTGAAAGTTCTTGACGTTGACAAAAATATAACTTCAAAAACTGACCGATATTACTAAAGGAAAGTTTATAATACAATATTATGTCAAA